AAGATTTGTCAATTCCAAATCAACACGGGCTTCATACCGGAACAAGAAACATTGATAACATTTTCCTCGAATGATTTCGATGATTTACCGGATGATAATCAGGTTCCTCATGAATTTTCGGTTTCGCTGTCGTTGAGTTTCACGGATAACGAATCCTCCTTGGTTACCAGCAAAGCCCATAAGAAACGCACAACATATATTTAGTTCGCAATTAGAATTCGAGGAAATGGTGGATAATTTCGGCAAGTCCCTATAGTATTTCCGCCCATTTCATTAATTTATTTATTTTCCTTACTACAGTGACAAAACCTAGTTCCATCAACAAACCTACGCCTGTTAGGTCAGCTGCTTCGGTAGATAACGCCTATTTTATCAGATGCTACCGAAATAAAGCAAGAGGATGTACCTCGAATCCAACCTCAACCATCAACACCAATAGACATGCTCAGTTTAAACCAGCCCCAACCCCAGCTGCCGGTGCAAGATCCACATGCCACTGTTATGCCAACGAGTGACGCTAGTTTCGATTTGCTTGGAGCATTCGTGGATGATAATTCATCTGGCATTGGCTCGGCTCCAATACCTGATATTTTAGGTAAGGATTTGGTAGATTCAAAAAAGTCTTTGACTTTTAGGCGGCCATCCAAATTTATATTTTGCTAAGTTGTGAATTGAGACCTACATTTCTATTTTAGAAATTAATGTACAACCAACTTCAAATGCCAACCTTGATGATATCTTCGGCTCAGTTGGTTCATCGGCGCCGAAAACCAACCTGGAGTTTGATAGTGTTTCTGTACACCAGCCGACACCGACTAGTGCAAACACTTCAGCGACGACTAAAGTAATCCCAACCTGGTGTACTAGTTGGTGTCATAGTTATTTTTCTTCTCTGTTTTTGGAAGCTAGTGCAATGAGGTATAGTTTTAATAAACATTTATTCGATTTGAAATTTTTACTACTATAGTCTTTATTTTGCAGGATATTATATACATATACGTGCAGTATATTATATTTTCATTTATCCACTTGTTAAGTTTAACTATAACGAAGCAAAATGATGTGTAAAATCAAGTAATTGCTATTAAATCTAAGTAAAAAAATTATATAATTTAAATGATAATTATTAAAAAGATACATACATACATATATACGTTAAGGACATAAATATATATAGGATATAAAATTTTAATCTCTTTGTCAACTTAATTGCGGCCCTGAAAAGGGTTTCTTGTTGATTGGTATATATGTATTTATCTAAGCATAAAATTTTAATCTCTTTGTTAATTAATTGGCGGCCCTGAAAAGGGCCTTTGGATAAATCATATTACTTGCCAGCAAATAAATAAGTTTATATTTGTATAAAATACGCTTGATGATTTTTTAAAACTAGGGACTTACGTAGCATGCAAGTATTTTATTTTTAGGCGTCTGAAATGCTGAGATCAGTGCGTGTGAAATGCGGACGTTGATTCATGCTGCAAGTAAAGAACGGTTAATTTCTACAAATTTGAAAACGCTTTAGTTCAAAACTTACCACATGTTTGGTATTTTATGCAATACTTACGGTTCTATAATGGTACCATATGGATCGATCTAGGTCAGAGTTTTTTTGGCTTTTCTTTTTCTTTTGTGGGCATTTTCAACGAGTTCTTTATTTAATTTTTGTATTTTGAAGAACATTCTTGCCCTGAAAAATAATTTTTTTACTTTAATGACGCATTGAATTGTTGCAGCATGCTCAATGTGAGTTTTTACAAAATCATTTGTAATAAGCAAGCCGTCTTCGTTCAATGCCTTAAAGACTGACTCAAGACTTCGCATATGGACCATCATAGAGGAGCTTGGTAGGGATAACCCACCCTCGTTAAGGTGATCCGCCCAGGAAAATTAATGGTCGTCATTGCTCCTGAACGACGTGCTGGGAATGTCATCCTGCAACTTGTGGCAAATATATCCCGCTAAATGCTCGAGTCCGTCTAGCTCTAAATCCTCGAATTGCGCTTCTTCAACCGGCCACAGTTCTACATTAGAGCTTAAGTTCTTCAGCAAAATACCTGTAAATATGGTAAAATATATATGTGTGATTATTAATAAAATATATTTTTATATTTAAGCCGAATGAAATAGATAACAAATTATTTTGAATTACTTGTAAGCGGAGGCTGCGTGATTTCTATGTCAGGCGTATCATCCTCTTCTACATTAGCAGAATCGGATAATACGCCCTTGTTGTGTCCTAGCAGGTATAGTCGCAGACGGTACTTGAATTCCTGTTGGTCAGGGTGATCATGTAACCCGCCTTTTGACCGAATAATGCCGAAGAAATTTTCGAGTACGTCTTGGTTTAGTCGATACGTCAAGACATACTTGACATTAAAGCGAGCTTTAATGTCCTCGAATAACAACTTCAACGCCGTATTACTTTGAATGATTCCTAGGGATATAGTAAGAAAAAATAACAAACATTTAATGTTATTCTTGAGATAAACATATGTATTGGTTTACCTTTTTGGAATGGCAGCAGACTAAATTTGCCAAGCACCCTCATATTTTTGACTAGGTCCGTCATCTCGTCTAGGATCTTGTTTTGCTCCTCGATAGCTAAACCGTAAGCTGACACTTTCACTTCCTGAAGATCACTATCATAGTAAACACAGTTACGGATAGGTGACGTCGAAGCATCAGCAGTACCGTCCCTTGGCCGATATTCTTTATCGCCTTCATTTAAACCAACTAATAACCCACTGACATTAATAATATAATATTTATAGTATATTTGCTACCTTCGCAATTTCGTAGCTCAATGACCGGGTACTGTTTATGAATTTGTACAACGATTTTGGGTTGCTGTGCCCAAACGCGTGAATCGAATCAAAAAACTTTTACACACACTTGTAGACAACAGTTCACGCTTTATTACAAAAATTTAATTTACTAATCTGTGCACTAATTTAACAATAATGTCGGTTGGAAATATGGTATTTGTTGCAAAGCAGGGGTAACTTTTCATAAAGCGGCGTTAATCCTCTTTCGTTTAGGGGGTATTTGTGGGGCCCACACCACCTTCCCCTCCGCCCCCACCCCTAAATCGTTGTACAAATATCTAAACATTTCCCCAATGACCTCCTCAACGCTGTCATTTTGTGACTCACACACCGGAGCAGGATCTATTTCCCACTCAAAAATGATTGGCATGGCGTCGCGGCGAAGCGATGGTAAGACTTTTTTAGATATCGACATATATAAGTAAGGTAAGTAAATGATATTGTTACGTCCTTTCCCAGTCTCTTAAGATCTGAGTTCGATCACTGAATTGTCGAATAAAGCTCGTCAACCAACTTATATTTTTAGATACAAAACTCCAACTACACATACATTTTTCCGTTTTTCTGAAAATTCAATATTATCTATGAACACTCAATTAAACGAATCAAATAACAACAAGTATGAAAAGTAACAGGTGCAATAACTCTACAAGTATCTAGTAGTATCGCGACTTTTCAAATTCGTCACACTGCCCTCCGCTTAAGTCTGATCGTCCCGATTAGACATAAATTTCTTCGTTCCAAACGGAGCCAGTCTCTCCAGATGAACTACTTTGATTTTCGCCTGCCCCGTATTACATTTCCGTATACGACACACCACATCATTTAGCTTTTTAACCACCTTGTGTGGACCTTCCCAGGATGCTTGAAGTTTGGGAGAAATCCCTTTCTTCCTTTGCGGATTATAAAGAAGTACTAAGTCACCTTCCTTAAATCCTTCAGAGTTCACAGCACGATCAAACCGATCCTTCATCTTATCACTCATTAGCTGGGTATGTAACCTCACATGATGGTGTAACTTATCCATGTCATCCTGCAGCGTTTCCCAATGACTGCCTTCGTCCATTGTGGGAGCAGCACCACTTCCGAATACTAAATCACACGGCAGCCTTAAATCACTTCCAAAGAGTGTCCTAGCCGGCGATTGGCCAGTAGTTTCATGTACAGCTGAGCGATAGGCCAACAGGAACATTTGGATGTGTTTATCCCAATTTCGTTGGCACTTTCCCACCACCTTTCGTAAGTGTTCCTCCAGAGTGCGGTTGAAGCTTTCGACCATTCCATCCGATTGCGGATGCAAAGGTGTTGTCCGCGTTTTCCTAATTCCCAACAAGCAACACAACTCCCTGAATACCGCGGACTCGAAGTTTCTTCCTTGATCTGAATGTAACTCCATAGGTACTCCGAACCGAGCAACCCAGTTCTGCACAAAAACATCAGCAATGGTTTTGGCCCTTGGTTTGGTACAGCGTAGACTTCCGGCCACTTACTGAAGTAGTCCATAATAACGAGCACATATTTGTTGCCCGAGTCACTTATCGGAAACGGACCTGCCACATCCATGGCCACTCTCTCAAATGGTGCACCCACGTTATATTGCTGTAATCTTCCACGACTTCTGGTCTTCGGACCTTTCGCTGCCATACACTGCGCACAATTTTGAATCCATTCGGCAATTGATTCTTTACAATTCACCCAGTAAAACCGCTGCTTAATCTTCTCAAGCGTTTTAGTAACACCCAGATGACCACCGCTTGGTCCATTGTGGAATTCCTCTAACACAGATGAAATTCTGGATTTAGGAATTACGATCAAATTGCGAGCATGATTCCCGTCCTTGCTTTCCCATACGCGATGCAGAACTCCATCAATTATTTTAAGGCTATTCCACTGCGCCCAATATGCCTTAGCCGCAGGACTTTCTATCGCCATTCCGGATTTAGATGGTCTCTCTCCAGCGTCTATCGCTCCTATGATCCTTTTTAAGTCAGCATCGTTCAATTGACTTCTTCTTATTGCGCTGAACTCCCACTCGTCATCGGGTTGCAATTGCATTAATCTGATATCAACTATTCCCTCGTATCTCTCGATTTTCGAGCAATACTTACACTCTATAGCACAGGGTCGTCGAGATAATGCATCAGCATTTCCATGTTGTTCCCCTTTACGATGTTCAATCTCAAAGTCGTAATTTTGCAGCCTTTCAATCCACCGTGCAACTTGTCCTTCAGTCTGCTTAAACTGGAGCAGCCATCTCAAAGCTGCATGGTCCGTTCTTAACTGGAATCGTTGTCCATATAGGTATTTGTGGAAATGTTTTACGCACTCAACCACAGCTAACAGTTCCCGTCTGGTAACACAGTAGTTCATTTCCGGCCTTGCGAGGACTCTGCTATAGTATGCGATCACTTTTTCCTGTCCATTAATAATCTGTGATAGTACTCCTCCTATTCCGTATGCGCTAGCGTCTGTATCCAAGATGAACTTTTCTCCCGGAACCGGATAAGCTAATATAGGCGAAGTACAAAGAAGCTCTTTAAGTCGCTGGAAAGCTTCCTCTTGTTCCTTGTGCCACACAAAAGCGCTATTCTTCTTAGTGAGATTGTGGAGACTCCGTGCAACGTAGGCGAATCCAGGAACAAAGCGACGGTAGTACGTGCACAGCCCTAAGAAACTTCGGACATCATGTATACTTCTTGGTTGTGGCCAATCTCGTACTGCTCTTATCTTATCCTCGTCTGTCTTGACGCCTTCAGTTGTCACCTTATGTCCCAGATACGTGACTTCCGTCTTGAAAAATGAACACTTCTTTGGATTTAAACGCAATCCCGCGGAAGAAATGCGCTGAAGGACTTCTTATAACTCTTCCAAATGGCCACTAAAACTTTTACCCATGACAATGATGTCATCCAGATAGACTAAGCACGTTTTCCAGTGTATACCCCTCAGCACGTGCTCCATCAGGCGCTCAAAGGTTGCTGGAGCATTGCATAATCCGAATGGCATCACGGAAAACTGCCACAACCCATCTCCTATGCTGAAGGCTGTTTTCTCACGGTCGCAATCCTCAATTTCTACCTGCCAGTAACCACTTTTTAGATCGAGCGTGGAAAACCATTTCGCACCGGACAAAGTGTCGAGAGTGTCATCTATCCGTGGTAATGGGTAGCTGTCCTTTTTCATGACTTCATTCAGCTTCCTGTAATCTACACAAAATCGGGTACTACCGTCTTTCTTTTTAACCAGCACAACGGGTGAACTCCACGGGCTCATTGATGGCTCAATTACTCCACTTTTCTGCATTTCTTGAATTATCTGCTTCGCTTCCTCGCGTTTTGCTAGTGGAACTCCGCGCGGAACTTGACGAATTGGCTTTGCATCTCCGGTATCTATTCGATGTTCCACGATGGCAGTTCTACCAAATTTACCACAATCACCGGCGAATATACAGCCGTATTTTTCTAGCAACTTCTTAGCCTTCGTCCACTCAAGCCCTTTCACGTCATGCAACCAAGTCTTTATAAAGTCGGGAGTCCTTCTGCTTGCTTCCAGGAATTCTTCGCTTCCCTGTTGAGGACTGTCGCAATTTACTATGGCCTCTGCAGCCTGGCATTTCCCAATTACAGCACCTTTATCCAGAATAACTGGTGACTTGAAATTATTTAGTACCCTCACTGGAACCCGCATGCTTTTTCCCATTTTCACCAACGTTCTTCCAATGATTACATTTGTCGTCTCTTCAGCAGCTTCTATAACACACACTTCGCCCGTACCACAGCCTCCTTCTACATTAGTCCATATGACTGCTTCAGATTTTGGCGGAATCCATTGACGGTGACTTAAGGTTACCTTCCTGAACTGTACACTGTTCTCATATCCGGTACTCAAAGGTATATCCATGTTTTGACACGACAGCACTCTATTATTCAAATCCAATGTAAAACCATGGAGCAGCATAAAATCCACGCCAATTATTACTTCATCTACGATTTCAGCCACTAAAAATGTGTGAACAACCGACAAAGCTCCAATAAAAACTTTACAAACAGTCTTTCCGGAAATCGTAGCTTTCTCTCCTGTAGCCGTCTGAAGTTTGTAACCAAACAGTGGTTCCACATTACCGCTTACCAAATCTGACCGGATGATTGAGTTCGTCGCACCTGTATCCAAAGTAAGCACCAGGGATCGACCATTTACAGTTCCCCTCACCGACAAACTATTGCTATTCCGTCCAATTTGCGAGACGGAGACAGTGGAGCAGTCAGTTGTGAGAACCAGCTCACGCCCCTTAGAGCTGGTTCGTTTTAGTTTAACGGCTGTTGAGTTTCAGGAGCGGTATTGTCGGTCTCACTGATTCGCTTCCTTCCACCCGAGTTTGCCTTCGATTGACTATGTGGTGTACTACAATTGCGCGAAATATGCCCAATCTTACCACAGTTGTAGCACTTAATATCCGAACTGCTGCGACGTGTCATCTGGGATAAGGACTCTCGTATTACGTCCCTTATGGTTTCTTCCAGCGAGTTGGGCTCTTCAACATGAACCCGATGAACTCTGTGTACTGGTTTGCTCAGAAGAGCTGCTGTCTCCTGTGCCAGCGCAAAAGACATTGTTTCAGCAAACGTCCCCTTTGGTGTTGAGTATGCTGCCCGTTTCGTCTCCGGATCTCGTAAACCTCTCACGAATGCCTGGCACTTCATCTTTTCTATGAAATCTGCCGTTTCTTTCGCATATGCCAAATGCGCCAATCGCTCGATCTCTGTTGCGTACTCTTGCAGTGTCTCATTTATCTTCTGAAAGCGATTCATCAATTCCATCTGGAACATTTGTTGCCTGTGGTCACTGCCGTAACGTCTCTCTATTGCGGCCATTATAGCGTCATAGTTACCCCGGTCGATTTCTGGAACTGTCTGCAGTACTTCGGCTGCAGAACCCTTAAGCGAGACAACCAATGCAGCTACTTTGTCTGCAGTACCCCAGTTGTTTGTTGTTGCTGTTGTTTCGAACTGGAGCTTAAATATTGAGAAGGATACAGTGCCATCGAAGGATGGAGCGTTTACTTTGGAACCGCCAGTTAAATCATTCGGGCGATTCAGTTGTAGTTCACAGAGGCGAGCTTTCATTGCATCTACTTCAGTCTCAATGCCTCCCGTCTTCTCCTGTAGCTGCGTAATTTTAAGATCCTGCGTTTCCAGTTGCGACGTTACATGTGTCTTCTGTGCTTCTAATTGGGATAAGACCTGTGATATACGGGTATCCTGCTTTTCCAGCTGCGCATTTATCTGCGACGTCGTTTTCATTGTGTTCGGGCTATCAGTTCATTACACCCAAGGTGTATTAAACAAGGTGTGATTGACAACTCAGTGCGGCTCTCTTTTAAGGTACTATAATGTCAAAAAGTATAAACAAACGAATTAACCCTTAGTGATGCATGTATCTTATCAGCACTGATGTCCTAGGCTTTTATTTCGATTATAGTTTTGTTTTACTTACATTACTTACATCACATATATTTTGTCAATAAAATAAAACAAATTGTTTATAAAATCGTTTTATCAATTTTCTTGTTTTTAATTGTCCTAGTTTTATGCTTTTGCGCGCTTATTTTTATATTTAAATTTTTTATCCTAAGCATTATTCGACACTTATAAAAGTATGATTTTACATTTTTTACCAATTTTATATTTGAGCTTAACTCAAACAATTTTGAAATTAAATTTTTTTCATGTGAACTAGTTTTCCATTAAAGACCTTGCTTCGAGCGGTTTTAATTTAAGCTCTTCCATACTTGCTTGCATGGTTTAATTATTTCGGTAATCCGAAATATTTCTGTTCGCAACGTGCATTCTAAAGAGTCGTCTGTTTGAGTTTGGACATCAAAAAAGAATGTATCCTGATCGTGTACTAAAAACTCACTTGTATCAGTTTTTCCGTATGGCATTGGGACTGCGCATGGGTTTAAACGAGCTCGTTGGAAAGTGTTTGATTTGCACATCACTTTCCTTGAGTGGTTTTCACAAACGCGAGATGAATCACGTAGTACAACACCAAAGCTTTCTTCCCATCGCTGCCGTCTTAATTCGCAACTAGGTGGTTTAAAACATCGCACTATTTTCGTGTCCTGACTTTTATTGCATCGTTTCATCTTGGTTTCCTTACATTAAATATTTAAGCAAAGTCGAACGTATTTACTTATTACCAAACTTAAATGTACTTACTTGCTCTTCTCGGCGGTTTATCTCTTAACAATTTCACGTTTATTAAGAAAATTTGCTTTGCTTGAAAAATTTGTGTGTATTTTTTTTTGTTAATTCAAATTTGAAAAAAAAAAACACATTTTCAAATGGGTTAACAATTCATTTCAATTTGACATTATTCTCATATTCAGCTGGCTATAATGTCAAATTGAAATGAATTGTTAACCCATTTGAAAATATATTTTTTTTCAAATTTGAATTTGTTTAAAAAAATTTATATAAAAAATAATCCCGATCAACGCTGCCGTCTGTTTAAGCTTTTAGGCGCAATTGTTTAGTTAGCTAAAAAAATGCTTTAAGCAAGATCTTAATATAATAATAATAATAATAGATGGCGCTTACACATACGTTAGTGTTTGGCCGAGCTTCTCCTCCGATTTGAGGCGTAAGCCTTGATGTTGTCACACAATGATCTTAATATATATATATATAAATTAAATATATCTCTCATATCACATATCTTCATTTGTTAATATAAAAAGAAAGAAGATCTCAATGTAGTTTAAAATACACTGTTTAAAAAACTAAATTTGATTTATTTAAGGAAATTTTTATGAATTTTACTGAAAAGACTTTAAATAAACTCTAAATTTTTTTTGTTTATTTGCGCATATTAAGAAAGGTAACCATTTTCCTCTTTTAATGTGTGCAAATTTGCACACCGTGTAATAAAATTAAACACTGCCTGTTTATTTTAACAACCACATTTTTCGCAGAGCGCAAAATAATACATAAAATGTTTAAAATAGAGTAAATGTAAGCCCCTAATGTTTATTATTTTTAGGAAATGTATTTTTAGTTTCAAAATTTTTGCAACATTAAACATTTCATGTGTATATTTATGTATATATTTTAAAGACTTCAAGTTCAAAATCGAATCCTGAACATCTTATACGCATGTATATTTATACAGATTCCTGTTGAAAAATAGATATTTTTCAGTAGTAGTTTTACACACACTTTTCATAGTGTACAGGTACAAAGGTAACATATTAATTACTATTTTTTACTTACTTTGCAAAATACTTATGTATAAAAGAAAAAATGTATAAACTGAAATTACAAATGTTTGATTTTATGAAATATAAAAATATATATACACGTAAACCAAGCCTTAGGATGGGTTAAATTATGTCTTTTTCTTCAAAATCTTTGGTTTTCTTACAAATTTTGAGATGGATACGTAAAAAAAGAAAATTGGATACATTTGGATACATTTTTGGCTTGGTCGGTGATACATTTTCTTGGGACGGCGCGGCAACACTGGTTGCGAGTTAAGACGGCAGCGATGTGGTGTTGTACTACGTGATTCA